AATGGGACCGTTGGCTTTCCTTTATTAGGGGCAATGCCTATGCTGATATGAATTTCTGACTGGGAAACTGTTGTTTTAATTTATGTTTTGTAGCATCATTAGTTGAAAATTAACAAATTATGACCTTTTTAAATTGAGAGAATTTTTTTAAAGTTTTTGTTTAAATTCCAGTTAGTTAATATACAGTATAATATTAGTTTCAGGTACACAACACTTCCATAAGACATTGGGTGCTCATCACAAGGACTCTGGGACCATGACAGAAGCTGAAGGCAGACACTTAACCGAGTGAGCCCTCCAGGAGCTCCTGAAAATTTTTAATTTAACTGAAAGTCAGTGGATTTGCTTAGTACTATATCACCTTTTTCAAGTGAACAATTTGAAGAAATCCAGTCAGTCCAAATTACCAATCTCTCCTTGATCTGGTGCAGTTAATACTTGGCTTCCTCAACAATGTTTTCCTTAGGAATTTTTATTCCTAATTCAAAACTGAGAATAACTTGGGCACACACACCCATACCGCATAAAAAGGATAAAAAAGAAGTAAAATCCATGTTGTCTGGTAATGAATGGAGAGTTAGTGCTCCAATCTAATATATTTATTAATTCTTGAATTCAATCATACAAAATATGTGTGAAGTACAACATGAAGTTTTTTTTTTTTAAAGATTTTCGTTATTTATTTGACAGAGAAAGACACAGCGAAAGAGAGAACACAAGCAGAGGGAGTGGGAGAGGGAGAAGCAGGCTTCCCACGGAGCAGGGAGCCCGATACGGGGCTTGATCCCAGGACCCTGGGATCATGACCTGAGCCGAAGGCAGACGCTCAATGACTGAGCCACTCAGGTGCCCCAACATGAAGTTTTTAATCATAACAAACATATATTAAGGGAAACCATACCACCTGTGTTTGATTGGACATGTTAATCCACCCCAAATGAAGAAGACAGCAAAATAACATAAGTAAGAAAAGAAGGAAAATGAAGTAGTAATTCACTGCCATTGATATCTTAGAAGAAAAATTCATTAATAATAGTCATGCTATCACTTTAACTATTTTTGTATACAGACTAGTTTTAGACAAGGTAGAAATAATTCTTAATATTTATCTTTCTTGTGTACAGTAATACAATACTTTAACTTCAGAAAAGTTTTAAAAAACTTTGTTTTTTAAAAAACTAAGCTTTGTAGAATTAAAAAAATAGAAATCTCTGTAAGGTAAATATTTGAATTTGTAATTTCGGGAAAAGATCAGCATATGGCTATGGGTGTGTTTTCCTGAATAGCTGGGGAATATTCTGTATTTTCTTTCCCATACTGAATGCTTCCTTGTTTCCTTGTTATTCTTTATTCACTCAGACTTTTTAAAGAATTTGTTCTTTGCAGCATTTATTCCCAAAAAATCTGACTTGCTTTCCACGTATCATACACAGACCCTTGTTCTAAGACTATAAAGTTGAATAGGACATAGTTCTCATGATTGGGAAACTGAAGCTACTGGGATAGGTGGGTATGTGTACACATCCCACATTATATGGTAAGATAGACTAGAAATACATAAAACAGGCTCGGAGGAGAGCAATTCCCATGGAGCAGAAGGAGGCTTTGAAGAGCAGGGTGAATCAGAGGCTTGATGGGAACTAATTACTCCCATACTAGCTTTCATATTAGCTTTTCTGAAATTTGCTTGTTGGAACAACTCAGGAATCAATCAAATACAGGTAAATGTTGGACTGATATTTTTTTACACATACATAGTTTATCAAGGCTGAAAACAAAACAGAAGGAATAAAAGATTAAAATGGAGTTGGGTTTTTTCATCTCATATGAATTAATTATCCATGATAGGATTAGTTATATAGAAATTTAAAATATAGCTAATATATTCAGATTAAAATTGTATACTATTACATAGTATATAGTATGATGAACATCATCATTCTACAGGTAAGATTAGAAGTAGGACCAAGAAACTTTCAAACAGTCATCTTTTAAAGATCAAAAATGGTGACACAATAAGGTTATGTCAAAAAACTTAAAGCATGAATAAAAATGCAAAGACATTTACCCTTTAAAGTACTTTTAAGAAATAATGCAGGACATTTTATTTGTCCCTTTTTTAATTCATTGCTATCCCTTGGGACATTCTCTATTTTTGTGCCCAAAATAGTCATCCTCATAGATTTCCTGTTTATTGCCATAAATGTCTTCATTCTTCCATCTTCTGTTGCTCACTGGCCTGTTTTGGTTGCAGCTTTTTAAGTCTCATTTTCACATTGATAGCTGATCTCCAAACTTGTTTCATCTTTGAGGACAAACAACTGGATATATTTTACAGCGACCCTTGATATTAAGGGGAGTTATCTGATGGAGGTCTAGCCAATGAAATGTGAGCAAAAGTGATAGACATCACAGCGAGGCCCATAAAAATCCCCTGGAACAATCCTCCAGTGTCTTTCTGTTTTTGTAGATTGAGGACAGGCATGATGAAATTAGAGGGAAGGTGGAAAGCTAGATTAGCCACTAGATGGAAGGAGACTGAGTCTCTGAATCACTTCTTGGAGGAGTGCTGTATTCTGATCAGTAGCACCTGTTCTGGTCTCCATGTGAGCTTGAGAAATGGCATTTACTCTATGTTTTGGGCCATGTATTACCAGAAAGAGATGAGCTCAGTAAATAATTGGCTGGTTTGCAAGCAGAAATAAAAGAGAGTAGAGAGAAAGTCCAGGTATTTGGTGTCTCTAACAGTTCAAAGGGGAAACCACTGACTCTAAGCAATCTTGACGAAGATTTGAAAAGCAAACATCTTTTAAGACTCACCCCTGCAGCAAGTATCTGACTAAATTTATTATCTGAGAGGACTTTCAAGGAACTGACTTTAAGTCGTGAAAAACAAGAAATATGGTCAGGGAGAGTGAAAGGATGCAGAGAAATATGTCTAGGAGAGAAGTTTGGGTATGGCTAAGTGGTATACAGTATTCCCTGGAAGCAATTACCTTAGAATTCTTCTAAGTTTCTTAGATATTTACATTTTCAAGGACATCATGAATCCAGATTAAAGGAAAGTGGGCTACTCAAGCTGCAACAAACTGCTAGATCTCTAAATTTGCCACAATCGAGCTGTGAAAGAGAGACAACCCTCACAGAAGATATACTGCACAGTACCACTTCAGATAAACCAGAAGAGGATACAGGACAAGGAAGAATATCTGGAGTTTGGCAATAGTGGCCATAGAAATGTTTAGGTTAAAAAAAATCTAGCAACTCATAGAGGCAGTTGGTACAGGAGTGGCTCAGGGAAAAGGAAGAAAGAACATTCCATGTTCTATCCCATGTTTTCATCTGGTGATTTGGACTCCCCTCCTGAACGTGTGGGGCCCTGGGTTTCCCAGGTCCTCTGGCAGCATTCTCACCCTAGTCTCCTCCTTCTTGGTCTTTTGCTCTCTTTCTAGGTATTGCTCTTCCACCTTTATTCCCTAAAAGGGCTATCATTTATTCTTTTTTCTTTAAAGGCAATGAAGTCTTTTCTTAATTTTACATCCCCATGTATAAAATTCTATCTACTTAATGTTTCTAAGTGAAATTTTGTGCTAACTACCAACTACTTGGTTATGTTCTTGACATAAAGAGAAAAGTTTGGGGGATTTATTTTTTTAAATTTTATTTATTTATTTGTCAGAGAGAGAGAGAGAGAAAGAATACACAAGCAGGGGGGAAGAGCAGGTCGAGGGAGAAGCAGACTCCCCGCTGAGCAGGGAGCCCGATGCAGGACTCGATCCCAGGACCCTGGGATCATGACCTGACCGGAAGGCAGACACTTAACCAACAGAGCCACCCAAGCATCCCAAGTTTGGGGGATTTAGAAGTGCTTCTTTCATTACACACACACACACACACACACACACACACACACTCATACAACATAAACCAAACCAAAATACTGGTTCTTGAGACATTTTTCCCAGCTATGAACTTTTAGATTTTCTTTCTTTTTTTTTAAATTTTATTTTATTATGTTATGTTAATCACCATACATTACATCATTAGTTTTTGATGTAGTGTTCCATGATTGATTGTTTGCTGTGAATTGTGTAAGACTGATGAATCACAGACCTGTACCTCTGAAACAAATAATACATTATATGTATTTTGTATATATGTATATTGGTTAAGCGACTGCCTTCGGCTCAGGTCATGATCCTGGAGTCCTGGGATCGAGTCCCGCATCGGGCTCCCTGCTCGGCAGGGAGTCTGCTTCTCCCTCTGACCCTCCTCCCTCTCATGCTCTCTGTCTCAAATAAATAATAAATAAAATCTTTAAAAAAAAAAAAAGATAGTAGATTTTTTTTTTTTGATAGTAAAGAACTGCACATTGATTCTTTTTACATTCCTGAATGTCTTTGCTGAATTGGATGACAGGCATATTTAAGAATACGCATAAAACAAAGATTAATTATATCTAAAAATATTATTACAATGTTAGTATGTGGGATGTTTTCAAGAAATACTAATTGAATGAAATAATTACGTACCATCTTGTCAGTGCAGAAAAACAAAATAAGTGTCAAATTTTAATTTTAATTTGAAGTAGTGTTCTTTTGTGGTGATGAATGGTACCACAGAATTTTCAGAGGCAGTGCTGAGGATCATATGCTGGCACTTGGGAGTCTAAAGGATTCAATTCAAATTCTGGATTTCTACTTATTAGCTCTTTAGACAGAGAGCTAGAACCTAATATAATTATTTATGTATTTGTCTATAATCATAATTGTCTTATATATAGTAGATTTTTTTAGAATAGAAATGGTGTATTATTCATATTCATTTGTTTCTATATCTAAGCCAAGTTTCTATTATAGTGCTTTGAATTTAGCTGGTATTCAGTAAATATTATTATACAGAATTTACTTTTAAACTGGAGTTTTCTGTCCTAGTTTTTGAAAATGAAACATATATATTTTTTACTAGTGCAAAATGGTGTGAATTTTTGAATTTCATACCTGGACCAGGTTCATGAGCGTATCTCTGAAGTGTCCTGAGGTCTCTGAGTAAATGTCTTCTTGAAGGTTGCTGCTATATTCTAGGAAAAAAATTCCATGTTAAAGGTGTGATTTATTATAGAACCACATATCAACATACTTTGAGTAAGTTAATATTATTTCCTCAGTTGTGAAGGGAAAGTACAGGAAATACAATCAATCTGTTGACATTTCTTTGTCTTTTACTGCCTTCTACTCAGATGAAGTCAATCTCCTAAAGAGTCCACCAAGGAAATGTGGACACCTAACAGTAACATAGGCACAAGTCTGTTTTCTTAAAAAGCTATTATCTTTATTCCAAAATTGAAAAACAACACGAGAGTCATCGCACATTCTCTAATTCTCAAAATTCGGAATTCTGCATTCTATTTCCATAGACTGATATGCAGCCCAGCACTTGCCCCAAGTGCTCTGTTTCCTTTAATGTTTTAAATGAAGGTTCTTACTTCATTCCCTTTGGGAAATTCCCCTTGTTCTTGCTCAAATGCAGCAGAGGTAACTGTCTAGAATAGTTTCTTGACATTCAGTGAGAGGTAATACATGATGCGATGCAACTTAAGGCATTAAACTTTTTGAAAATGAAAATAGTTAACTTTTCTACTTTCAAAATGTGTAAAAATCTGATTTTGAGATAGATCACAGTGATTACGAGATTTACATAAAGTGAAATAGTTAACCATATTTGTCAAATTTGCTAAGCAGTTATTGTTCTTTGCTCTATTTTGTCTAGATACCTGGTTTCTCCTGGGTAAGAAATAAAATGGTCCTTACACATGGTGCTGGGCACTTGCCTGAATTAATGTAAACACTCACCTCATAGAAACTTGCAATTATTTTCCTGGAAACTTTGCTTAACTTGATTGTCTAGAGAATCGGTTCAGTTTTGATAACCTAATCATCAATTTTACTTAGTTAATTGGTCTTGAGTGAGTGATATTTCAAATATAAGGGTGTCTTAGAAAATTTTTAAAAACACATAAACTGGAATATTTTGTGTGCTATTTGAAAAATATAAAGCTTATATGTGTGTAAAGTATATGTACATATGTATACTTCCTTACGCAAACAGTAGGCTTCTCGCATCTGGAAAATTTCTCCATCTGTTCTTGAAGCTAAAATATCAATGAGGCAATTTTCTTCAGTGCCTGCTCCCTGTAATACAGAGAAAGGGAGAAATATAAAGGCATTTGTATTGGGAATAATAGTGCATCTTATGTATGATAAGGATTTACAACATTCCTGGTATTCTGAGAGGTGGCGGAGGAGAAAGAAAGCGTGTTTGGGATAAAGATAGGCCCAATTCAGTTCTGGCTCTGCTATTTACTAGCCACTTGACCCTGGGAGGATACTATTTTCTGAAACCCTGTTCCTTCATTTAGAATAAAACAACATAGGCATTTCTAAATGATGTGGAAAAAGATGTTTGAACAAGGCTCATGACACTGATTTTTTTTGCTACTAGAATATCAGTCTTTGGAAAGCTGAAATTAGAACCAGGGTCTCCTAGTTTCCTAAAGATGTTTCAGGGCCGGCTCCCTGCCTCTCCCTAAATGTGGATTTTTGTACCATCTGTCTAAGCATTGGACTGGGTACTTTCTACGGTTTCTTACAGCTATATGCATCTATTTTTCTGTGCTAGTGATCATAAAGACAACACCTCTTCCAGGAAGTTTCATAAATCCTTACCATTCCATGTGATACTGATAAAATATAACAGTTTGTCTAAACAGTAACCTGAGACTTCCTTCTTATAGTTTGTAGTCACATCATTTTGCAAGAGGTAGGAATTGCCATATGCAACTTATAAAAAAGCGATTGGTTGAAATACATATGAATTTTATACAATGTCTATTCTCATCTGCAAATATGATGGCCAAAATCCAGGTTCCCTTAATTTGTTCCCCTTTCCTCTTTCCTGTCACACATTGTTCACAGATTGAGTAATCTGGTCATTGGCAGGCATGGTATTGGAATGATTGCAACAGTTCTGCAGGTGTTTAATATCAGTATTTGGAAAGATGTAAAAAGCCTTTTGTACCCCATCCGTAGCCAACAAAGTCTCTAACAAATCTGTAGTCAATTTATTTCATGGAAATTACTTTCCTGTAAGGACATTATTTTTAATTCTTCAGAAGTAAAATTTTTATACACTTGAGCAATGGTTTTTGTAAAGGACTCTTAGGGTCACAAAAATAAAGATGTCATTTATATTTTGTCTCTGACTCAGTTTCCCATTTTTACTTAGTGAGTCCAATTTTCACAAATAATTTAAAGAGGTTCACATGACTTAGAACATTTTTCTTAATTTATGAATACATACTAGGGAGAGATGAATATGAACAACCCTGGAAGCTTATTTAGTTTTTTCTTTTGGTAGTTTGGCATAGAGCTGGGTCAGTGGATCTGAGTTTGTACAGCAAAAGAACAGGCTGATCCCAGCTACTAAGGTATAGAAGCCCCTCTTCTTAACAGGGTCACTTCTCCTGAGCACAACATTTTCGTTGTTTTATTTTTGCTCAGATATTCCCTCCCCAACCCCTGATCACATACAGCAACATCACAGGGCAGTTTCCTCTCTACTGAAATACTGCCTTGTACTTATTACACATATATATATATATATATTTAAAGATTTTATTTATTTGACAGAAAGAGACACAGTGAGAGAGGGAACATAAGCAGGAGAAGTGGGAGAGGGAGAAGCAGGCTTCCCGCTGAGCAGGGAGCCCGATGTGGGGCTCCATCCCAGGACCCTGGGATCATGACCTGAGCCAAAGGCATATGCTTAAGGACTGAGCCACCCAGGCACCCCTATTATAGGTATATTTTTGTGTCAGACCACTACCTTCATGGCATGCCAGAGTTCGTGAGCATCGTAAGATGGCGGTGGGTACATGAGGCCAACCATGACATCTTTGAAGTGATCTGAAAGCTTCTCCTTCAGGTCACCAATTAGGTCCTATGGATGGAAAAGTAAATACTTTTATTACATTAGTTACCAATTTTACAAGAGAAATGAGATAATTACAGAAAGTCATCTACTAGGACTTCCTTTTCTATGTTCATTTCATGTAGTAAAAAGCCTGGTTTTGATGCACATATATGCACACACATGCACATAAAAATATGCACATACAGGGATTATAGGAACGATGGACTTGAGGGTTTGGAGATGACTGATGTAATCACATCTCTGCATGAGAGGTCATCTACATGGACATTTTAGTCGTGTAAATATAAAATGATCTTCTTTCCCCAATTCTAACACCAACTTCTCTGTTGATCTCATTATGAAAATAAGTAAAAATTGAAACCTAAAAACATTGTGTTTTTAGTTCTTAGTTTTCTTGTGTGGAATTAATGAAACATTAGACCTTAAATAAAATATGCATTTTATCTTATCATTGCAGCAGTGTCTTTTAGCAGGAGTTTCTGGTTATCCTATTGCCAAAAAGCTTGTGTAAATGAATTAAGTAATCTAAGAACTTTCATCAAATAGCCACATTAATACATACATTTTTTAAATATTGAAAGTTAAACACTTAAGGAGAAAAAGAAGCATGCTGAATGTTTGTTCTTGGAATACATATTATAAAAGTATGAAATTGATCATTTTAATTTTGACTTTTATTTTACTAGCGTAGAATGGATATTTAAAAAACATATGTTAGGGGTGCCTAAGTGACTCAGTCGGTTAAGCTTCTGCCTTCGGCTCAGGTCATGGTCTTGGGGTCCTGGGATGGAGCCTGGGTTGGAGCCTCAATTCAGGCTCCCTGCTCAGCAGGGGAGCTACTTCTCCCTCTCCCTCCACCCCTCTCCTTCTCCCTCTTCCCCCTCCCTGCTCATGCTCTTTCTCTCAAATAAATAAAATCTTTAAAAAAATATATGTTAGTTGTATTTTTTGTAAGGTTACAAAGATATCTGAAAGATGTTTAAAACTTAACATTTCTTGCTAAAATATATAGAGTATATTCAGTTTTACTTTAAAAATATGCAATATTCTAGTTTGGAGGTGATTCAATAATAGAATTCAAGTTAAAGATGCCAATGAGGCATAATAAGCTCTATTGGAATAAAAAAATGAAATAGTCATTATTTTCATTTTATTTACTATAATCTGACAACACCATTCCTATATTGTGGATTTTCTTTTTAGCAAATAAAAGCACTTATCCATAAGGTGGTAAATGGTAATACCGAGAATCTGTTGAATTTTTGCTAGGGTCAGTACAATTCATTTAATGAGCAATTAATACATGTCTAGAGTTGTGTCAGGTGCTTGGAGTATATACCAGAAGCATAAGATCCCCTCTTCCATAGAACTTATATTGTATTTAATTCCCTCCTTATGCACCATTGACTATTTCTAATTTCTTTACCAAATGGTTGTTAAGGTGATATGAGCCAGGCACTCTTCTAGGTACTGGGGCTATATCAATGAATAAAACATATATATCATATATATACATATGAGCCTGTGAAACATATTCTTATGCATTCTCATGCAGGAGCATAAAAATTTTTTTGAATGAAAGATCGCAGTTATTCAATACTGTTTGATTTAATACTGTTTCCAAGACATAGTGTTAGGTGCTGGAGAAAAGCAACAGAGTCTCTGTTTTCAAGGAGATTCACATTCCACAAACCCAGAGATAACAAGTAAAAATGTGAGCTAATACACTTTCTAAGGCTTTCAAATGTCATTTTTCACAGCATAAGATCCTAAAGTAGTAGTACAAAACAGTTAGAAGAATTCAGATAAAAGATCAGAATAGATTTATAGGATTAGGGAACTAGGTCACTTTTAGACCAGAAAGGACAAGTAACACTGTGACAGGAGATGCAGAAGCCATTTGTATGGTTAATTTTATGTGTCAGCCTTGTTGGGTCACAGTACCCAGATATCAGGTCACACATGATTCTAGATGTTTTTGTGAAGGTATTTTGTAGATGAGATTTTTACATCAGTAGGCTTTGAGTAAAGCATTATTCTCCAAAATATGGGTGGCTCTCATCCAGTCAGTTAACAGCTTTAATAGAAAAAGGCTAACCTCCCTTGAAGAAGAGAGAAGTCTGCCAAGAGACCACCCTTGGAATTCAATTGCCGCTCTTCCCTGAGACTCCAGCTTGCAGGCCTACCTATGGATTTCTGAGTTTGCCAGTCACCATGACCACATGAGCTAATTCCTGAAAATCTCTCTCTCTCTCTCTCTCTAGCTAGACAGAGATAGATCATGTCACTCTCCTTGAACTGTTTTCCATTGCTCTTACAGGAAATTTTGAGCTCCTTATTATATCCTTGCTATAAGGTCTTACATGACTTGGAAAGGGAGAGAGCGAGTGAGGGAGAGGGATTGAGGGGGAGAGAGAGAGAGAGAGAGATTTTTTTTTCCCTTTAATTTGATATGTAGGAGTAGGTGTGGGTCTGGACGGCAGGGCAGGGCCAGGATGGGCTGGAATGTGCTGAGCGTCAGAGGTGGCTCAGAGGACGGCTGAACCAGGCCTGCGGACTGCGCAGGTGAACAACTCTCCCCAGAGGAAGCCCCATCTCGCGGGATCTCGGAGCTCCTCCACCGGAGCCCAGCGCCGGCAGGGGATTCCTGTGATGAGAAACATCTGCGTGCCGCAGGTGCCAGAGACCCCCTTCCCAGGCTCGTCCGTAAGGAGTCTGGCTCACGCCACCTATCAAGCAGATGTGCACATATATTCATATTATGTTGGTTCTGTTTCTCTGGAGAGCCCTGACTAATCCACATTCGAAAAGGTAAGTCAGTAAAAGAGCAGTGCGCAGCTGGTGGGTAGTCCTTGTGTCTGCGTATGTGTGTTTTCGTATGTGGTTGTGAATAAGTCAATCTGAAGGGACTGAAAGATCCACTTGAGGAGAAGATGAGTATTAAATTAGACTTATAGCACAGAATTATGTGATGACTGGATCTTTGCTCCTGTGGGAACTCAGGAAGCAGGGCAGCTTTTGGTGACAAAGGAACTCTAAGCTTATGTTCCATTAATTCACCAAATAATTATGCTTCTTAAAATGATGATTTTTTTAAAAAAGATTTTATTTATTTATTTGAGAGAGAGAGAACTCATGAGCAGGGGGAGGGACAGAGGGAGAGGGAGAAGCAGGCTCCCTGTTGAGCAGAGAGCCCAATGTGGGGTTCCAGCCCCTGAGGTCATGACCTAAGGTGAAGGCAGAGGCTTAACTGACTGAGCCACAGAGATGCCCCAAAAGTGATGATTTTTTTCTCAGTATGCATTATCAAGAGATATAAATCTTGATTAATATTACTATTTTAACTTTAATTTCTACTCCTTAAAAATTTTCAACGTAGTATCTTTTATGTAAAAAAAAAACAACAAAAAAACCCCCAAAACAACAAAATACCAAACCTGTGCCCTTGGAATTATTTCCACGAATAATTTCCCATTATTTAGTTGTTTTAAACATCTAGGATACAATGCTTACTTTTTTTCTTAATGGTCTCTCTCAGATAAAATTTTAAGAAAATACTTTTTTAAATGGACTCACAAATTCATGTAGGGACTCTATCAAAGTCTGCAATTGACCTAATAACTACCTTTTATTAAAAAATTACAAAGTAATTTTAATCTCCCTTACTCTTCCTCATCTCTAAGTCAATTCTACCTTGCATAGGTGTTTTGAGGGTGAAGTCGAGTAGGTGTGGTACTTGGCTCTTGACAACCTACACTCAAACTTCAACTTTGTCCTTAGGATCATGCTTTCTGTCTTAGACATGAAAATAGAAGATTAACTCCCCAGCTATGCTGTCCTGACTGGGCTTTCTTTGCTTTCTCAATCCTCTGCCCATTCACTCTTTCCCATGCCCACCTGTAGCTCCTTGAGATGTTTCCTTCAATATGGCTTGTAATGTGCCTCTTTGTGAATTTGTTCTCTCGCTACAACACAATTAACTTCAAAACTAATGATAAAAGTGTATCTGGAGAATCCCAAATATTTGGAAGTTAAAAAATGTATTTCTGCATGATCCAAGGATAAAATTATAAATCACAAGGAAGTTAGAAAATACTTTCAATTTACTGAAGGTGAAAATGGAACATGTTAAAATTTGTGGGATGCAGCTAAGACAGTGTTTGAAGATAAATTTTTAGCTTTAAAATATTTATATTATAAGAAAAACATATGAAATAAATTACCTAAGGTTCCACATCAAAAAAACTAGAAAGAAAATTAAATTCAGAATAAGAAGGAAGAAAATAACAGGATCAGAAACCAATAAAATAGAAAATTGATAAATACTAGAAACTGTCAACAAAGTAAAAATCCAGTTCTCTAAAATTGGTAATGTTAATAAAATTCTAATTAGATTGATCAAGAAAAAAAGAGAGAAAATACAAAATACCAATATTGGGAATGTAAGAGTGGCATGTACAAATACCACAGACATTAAAGGAAGAAGAAATATTATGAACACATTAATGCCACTAAGTTTTAAAATTTAGTTGAAATGGGCCAATTTCTTGAAAGATAGACATTATCAAAGAAAACTCAAGCAGAATTTTACACTCAATCTGAATCTCCTTATATTAAAGAAATTGAATTCATAATTAACCCCACCTTGCCCATCTCTAGACCCCGGTGCAATCACTGATAAAATCCATCAAACATTTAAGGTAGAAATAAAGTCAACTCTATACAAAATCTTCTAGAAAACTGTAGATGAAAGGGGCGCCTGGGTGGCTCAGTCATTAGGCGTCTGCCTTCGGCTCAGGTCATGATCCCAGGGTCCTGGGATCAAGCCCCGCATCAGGCTCCCTGCTCCGTGGGAAGCCTGCTTCTCCCTGTTCCACTGCCCCTGCTTGTGTTCCCTCTCTCGCTGTGTCTCTCTCTGTCAAATAAATAAATAAAATCTTAAAAAAAAAAAAACTATAGATGAAAGATGACTTCTCAATCTATTTTATGTGGCCAGTATTGCCCTAATAACAAAATCAAAAAAACTTCCATGCAAAGAAAATTGCACATTGATATTCCTTATGAATGCAGATGCAAAAAAACAATGTGTGCCCAAATATTTATAAATCAAAACCATCAATATATAAAATATGTCAAAAGAATGACATGTAATGACGAGGAATGCAGGGTCAATTTACACTTGAAAATCAATAAATACAATTCCTCATTTTAGCAGTAAAGGAGAAAAGCTGCATGATATCAGTAGATATAGCAAAAGCATTTGAAAAAAGTTTAACACATAAACATAGTAAAAACTCTTAGGAAAGAATGAATAGAAGGAATTTCCTTCATGTTGACGGAGGGCATTTATAAAAACTTTAGAGTTGAGATGATACCTAGGAGTGAAAATTGAATACTCATGCCCTAAGATTGGGAACAAGGCAAAGATATCTGCTCCTACTGTTTGTATTTAACATTATGTGAGAGGTATACACCTAAAAAGCAAAGCTAAAACTGTAAATCTTGTAGAAGAAAGCATAGGAACAAATCTTTGAGTCTTGGTGTAGCGAAGAATTCTTGGATAGTACATAAAAGTAACATCCATAAATGAAAAAATAAATGATGACTTTGACTTCATCAAAATAAAAACTTCAGTTCTTCTAAGGAAACCACGGGTGTTGTTTCACATGTCTGACAATAGACTTTGCCCGGAAGGTATAAAAATTTCTTAAAACTCAGTAATAAGACAACAACCTGATTAAAAATGCAAAGGATTTGAACTGATAGTTAACCTGAGAAAATAAGCAAATGGGAAATAAGCCCACAAAATGATACTTACCATTAGTCATTAAAATAATAGGAAGTAAAGCCACAATGAGGTAGCACTACACATTCTTTTGAATGGCTAAAATTACAAAGACTGATCATATCAGGCATTAGCAAGGATGTGGATCATCTGGAAGTATCATATTTGTGAAAACTCATCAGGTTGTACTGAAATGAATGTTTTATATAAATTGTACCTCAATATTGTGGATTTTAAATTTTATTTTAACATGTTATTTTGGCATCTACAAAGTGAATATTTTCTAAGGCTTCAATTTATTTAACTCTTTCAAATAGAGTTACTTTACTGTATTTATATGCTGTACTAGTTAATACCTAGTTTCAAAGTATCATCTAATTTAGTAGTTTTTAGCATTTTTTTTCCACACTAGAATTATACACCCATCATAACACTGGTGTGATAAAGCAATGATTCTTTAATTAGGCTGGGGTGGGGGGCCATATGAGAATCTTAGGTGAGAGGAAGAGTTTGTAAATTTATTCAGATGAGTAATATAATATCCTGTTTGGAGGTAGGATGCTTGTTCTTTCATTCCAACTGAACATTACTGAAATGGAGAAAAACAGGACATATGCAGTTAATTCTAGCTCTAAATGAACATTGAATTGATATGGAAATCTGAATGTTTTGAAAGAGACTTGGATGCCAGTTATTCCAATGTCCCTTCTAGTTCAGAGAGAAAAGGTCCTAATAGTGGAGATTGAAGCAGAGGAGTGTGCTGATTATATTAACCACTAAGATTTAATGTTTACTATCTGTTAGACAGGATTCTGCATGTTAGAATAACAGTAATAGTTCTTTACAACACGGAACTATAAACATCCCATGATATAGGTGAGAAAATTGTGGCACATAGAGCTTAAGTAGCAAGTTCCGTATAACTACACAAGTAAGTGACAGAGCCGGGATTCTGGCCTTCTGGTCTCTTTTTCCATGTTATATATGCCATAGAAAGCCACGAGTGATATATAAGCAAGTTAATAACAAAACATATAGGTGGTGAATGTAGTGTTTATGAACTTTTAAATCTAGTGGCAGTGCATCGAAGGTTTAAATGCAGACGGACCAATGTAATATACTTTTAGAAGATAATGGTAGCTGGCAGCTGATGGAAAGGTAGAAATATTAGAATTATCATTTCTTATGAGCTTTCCTCTAACTCTAACCAAAGTTGATTATTTCTTTGCCACCATTGCTCTATCTTTGCATTTATTACACTAGATTTTCCTGACTATATTATATGCATTTATTTCCCCCAAAAGTCTATCAGGACACAGACTTTCACGTAAATTTTACTAAATTCACCATCGATCTCTAGCACAGTGCTGAGTATAGAATGTGCAGAGGATATATATATATATATATATATAATATATATATAATTTATAAGTGAATATATAAACAAATGTAAGAATAAATGAATGAATGTTCATTCATTAAGAGAAAAAACTCTATTTTACTGATTATATGTAAAGGATAAAGTCAGTGTTCAAGCTGACAGTCACTTGGGCATTGCAAGTCATTTATTTGTCTACAGTATCTGTGATGACCATTCCTCCCAAATATTTGTAACAACATCTTCAGTTACTCTGCATATTATGTCATCCTATGCGTAGTAACGCTGAACACGGATCTGTGTATTCCGCCGCAGACCGAGATTAGTAATGCCACTAGATGGCGCTGGCATATCTTTGTTTTGTAACTCAGGTGTGCGTGCGTGCGCCTGTACTCGGCTATGGTAAACCGATTTTATAAAAGATGTCAATGAAATTATGTGATTTCTGTGAAGGAAGCAGTATCAGATATCGGCTAATGCCATTAGAGTGTACAGGTTGTGGAGGTAAAGTATTTAGGTTTGTATCCTGGATGTGTGAAGTGGCAGCTATGAGATTGCAGGCAGGTTGCTTAATCTCTTTGTATCTGCTTCCCTATCTGCAGAGTGAACATAACAACAGCGTCTACTTCGCGGGTTGATGTAAGTATAAAAATATTTAATTCAAGTGAAAGTCTTAAAATATTTTCTGGCACATATTAGGTACTCAAAAATGTCTTTTTATTTTCTTCAAAAACTCCTAAATAATTTGCTACAGATCAAAAATGGCTGATACCGGACTGTCTCCCTCGCTCTCCTCTCTATCTCTCTTTGCTCTCCACATCAGAATTTTATCTATTATATTGTATTTCTCACAACTTTTGTATTATTCAATTGTCAGTAAATTCTGTTGTCTCTAACTTAGAAATATATCCAGAAACTGAGGATTTCTTACCACTTTCACTGCTACAACCCTCATCCAGGCCACTACCGTCACTCCCCTATGTTAAGGTAATAGCCTCCAAATGAGTTTCCCTTCTGTCTTTGCACTTTACAGTCTCCCCTCAGCACACCCTGACAGTGCGATCCTGTAAAAATACAAATCAGATCAGTCACTCCTCTGCTCGAAATGTCCTTTCTCACTCTACACTTCAGGATAAACTACAACTGTTTTCATGTAGTTGAGCTCACATTAAGCAAATGAGCCAGGTATTTTATTCCATGCAAATGCCAATGTCTTTCCAGTGACTCACAAGGTACACAGTATGTTCTTGGTCACTTCTCTGCCCTCATCTCCTACTCCTCTTCTCCATGCTCCTGATTCCTCTCCCACTTAAGCCGGCTTCTTACTGATCCTGGAATAGCAGACCTATTTCCACCTCAGGGCCTTTGCTTTTGCCTTTCACTCTTCCTTGAGTGTTCTTTCTCTAGATATTCACATGGATCGCCCCCTCCCTGTCTTTTTAATAAAGCTTGCCTTTGTCACACTATTTTAAATTATACCTGGTTCCCTAGTACTTGCTAGGAACTTACCAGCCTTTATCTTTTTTCCATAGCACCGTTACTTTCTAACAAGACACATTTTACTAATTTTTTTTTTTATCTGTCTCGCCCAGGTAGAATATAAGTTCCATCATGGCAGGGCTTTTGGTCTGTTTTATTCATGGCTATTTCACCAGCCCATAGCATTGTGCCTGCTACATAGTAAGCACTTACAAAATTGGTATACAATAAATAAATGAATGAAGACTACTTATAATTCAACAGTTATTTATTTGGAGTCATTCTTGGCTATTCAAAGATGAACAAGTGAAGGTCCCTATCCCCAAGCAGTTTTATTTAGTGGAGGGGGCAGAAACACAGGAATTATAATTACCTTGCAATGCAAAATGTGCTAAGTGCTATCGTAGTAGAAATAGTATGATATTATCAGGACATCTGGAAGGAGATATTACTTTCTGTGGGGAAGATAAATATTGAATAATATGTTTAAATAGCTAATCTCTGCATGTTCAAAGAGGAGCCTTCAAATAGGTGCTCTAATTAAAGCCTTAAATTTTCACTGGGAGTTATATAAATAACTTTGCAGATACAACCTTTGGAGTGTTAGTTTCCCCAGCCTGACTGCCTCTACTTTCTTGTTCGCCAAAAATTTGCCCTAAAGGAACTCTGTAGGAATCACGGCTTGGCCTTGCATTAAGCTAATGAGTACTTGCTCTTCAAATTGAGCTGCTCTATGCTGCTGATGAAACTGTAGATTACCCATGGTGCAGCTCTTCTGACCACTCCATTTAAACTAAAAGTAAAATGGTAGTTTCTTCTTCCTTGTTCCTCTTACCTTTATATAATTATGTGTAATCAGGGGCAAGAAGTAGACATATGACTAACATTTTGCTTGTCTGAATATGCTCAGGGGAACATTTTTATATGCTTTTAACTTATATGCCTTTTTCTATTACCGTAAAAAATGATATTTGCTCTTTAAACACTCGGTGATGTAGGCCCATATAAAGTGTGCCTTAGAATTTCTCTTAATTCTACCTTCCCCAATATTCATTGTATAAATACTCACATGATTTTATTTATTCTGTCATAAAAACACTCGTGCAAGCTGCATTGTCATCTCACAGTGGTAAGTGAATATTCTTTTGAACAGCTCCACTTTGTAGATGTTTTCACAGTTTACTTAATGATTCAGTTTTCAGTGGAAATTTGAGCTAATTTTTGTCTGGTAATGATGATAATACTTTGGTCTCCTGGAGAGACATAGTATATTAAAACTGAAGTCCTCCCCCGTAAACACCATAATAACAATAACATTCTTTTAAAAGTATGCTTGATTTCAGAATAAAGAGAAACGTCTGGGTGTAAAAACCAAGGGATAAATGAAAATCAGAGGATAAGCAAAGGAGCTGATCTTGGAGATGACCTTGCAGGTGACTGGGGAGAGTAGGGGTTGGTTTTGAGAACTATTTGTTTTGGGTTTTAGTGCCCAGTGTGGGACATTATATGAGGACAAGAGAGCATTTATGGGGCTAGTGTAATACAAGGAACTAAGTCTGAAACCTCTATGAGGTTGGGAACCTCAAAGAATTATACCCTCAGTAAAAGTATGAACTAGGAAAAAAAAATACCATTCAGCATTGGAAGATGAGCAGAAAGCTAACCTTTCATTGTCTGGGTTTTAAGTAGAAGGATATTTTCCCTGAGAATTCAGAATAATGCAGCTGTATCTCCCTTGGACTTAACTTTTAAATTTATTCAACTGTACCCATATGAACTGAGACCTCTATGAGGAGAAATCATCATGAAAGTTGATCCAGGGCTGGTGATTCTCCTGGGACACCAGGAAGAAGCAAATGCCAAACAAATCTAGAGAGATTCTCTGACTCTCCAGGAAAAAAAAAATTCTCACTGAAAAAAATGAGCATCACTTTAAAAGTTCTCACAATAAAAATATGGTATGCACTTAGAATCAATTTTTCTAGTGGATAGACCGTGGACTCTACAAACAACTGAATTAAAACCTCAATTTGAGACAATTGATAACAATAGGAAAGAACACTATGAAAAAAAAAAGACACTTAAAAAGAAGACAAATTAAATTCTAGAAATGAAAAACTTTTAGAATTTAAAAACACAATATATTCTTTAAAGAGTAGCTAATAAACAACTGAACTGGAATTAGTAAATTGGAAAACTACCTGAAAAAAATTATTAAAAATCCCACAGAAACAGACAAGAAATAGATGATATGAATATAAGGTTAAGAGACTTGGGAGACTGAATGGCAAGAACAAACTTTTGTTGGATAGGATTTACAGCAGGAGAGAATGTGGACAATACCAGGGAGACACTATTTCAACTATCATATAATATGTGAATCCTCAGTTATGTAGATAAAAGTACATGAGCCTATTGACTAATAATGTAAAACTGCAGAATACCAAAGATAAAAAAAAAAATCTTTAAAGCAAACAGAGAATAAAAGGTAATCTACAAAGGAAAACTCTTAATGAGAGAAGGGATTTCTCAAAAGTTACCAGTGAAGGCCAGGAAAAAAAATTAAAATTATATCTGCAAAGACCTAAGGATAAGTAACTGGAATTCAGCCAAGAATGCTATAGCCATCTAAACTAATATTCAACACTGAAAAAAAAAAGGATAAAGGTATTCTTAAGGAGAAGACTGGAGTAATTTAACAATCATTTGTTATTTCTGGAAAAAAAATGCTAAGAAATGTCCTTTGGAAAAATGACATTGAGATCAGAGACATGGAGTTGGATATTAGAAGAAAAAGGAACAAAGAAATAGAAAATTATGAATAAAAGTTAATAAGCATTAACTTATCAAAAGCATAATAAGGATTAATTTGGGGGAGTATAAAACAAGGTAGAATAAAAATATTCAACAATAATAGTATCCTGCCTGGAAAAGTCTCCTAGCTCTTATGTTAATACCAGTCAAACACAAGGTGTCATCACAGAGACAACAGCCGCACTGCTACAGAATCCATTTCAAAGATGGACTCACTAAAAACCCTTTCAAATGTTAGCCAACTCCAAATCAGTCAAAAGGACCAAACCCTGTGCCTGTGGCCAGAACAAAATGCGGCTCTGGCTACTGAGTCAAGAGTGCACCAAGTTGGGGCACCTGGGTGGCTCAGTTGTTAAGCATCTGCCTTTGGCTCAGGTCATGATCCCAGGGTCCTGGGATCGAGCCCCACATCAGGCTCCCTGCTCCGCGGGAAGCCTGCTTCTCCCTCTCCCACTGCCCCCTGCTTGTGTTCCCTCTCTCGCTGTGTCTCTCTGTGAAATAAATAAATAAAATCTTAAAAAAAAAAAAGAAGGCACCAAGTTCATCAACAGTGATGAACTTATGTTTATTTGTCTCTCCTGAGAATGCTTATAAGTACCAAAGGAGATGCTCTTGATAAGAAATGAGCCACATATAGGGAAGTGCTTCTGCCTATAGCACAAATGGGGAAGGTCCCATAACTGCACTGATTACTATCTGCTTCCCATCTCTGTGACAGACGGGTTTGTTGATTGGAACCTCTGGCAAGAAGAGGCAGCATCTCGGAGGTGCCTCTTGGTGTCTTAAACTTATTGCCTTCCTGATACAACTTCTGGGTACGCCACTTTTGAAAAGCAGCTATCGGCTTGCTGCCGGACTCAGAAATTGAATGCCTGATAGTCTCATTTTGGTGGGTCAACTGGGACTCAATGACCAGCAAGGTGGGAAGAAATCAACAAGTCTCATCAAATGGAAATGGCACACCGAAGAAAACAGCTGGCCTGGCCCCAGAAATATCATGATTTTACATGAAAAAGTGGCATTCATTTGGGGAAACTTTAACCCCATTCTGCTTCTTGAAACAAGCTGCTGAATCAATGGAGACTTCAGTCAGTTGCCCTAAATGCCTTGACTTGGTTTATTGATGGTTCAGATATGCTAAAACCAAATGATGTCCACTGGGCTGCTGTGGTTGTTCAACTCAGTGATAGCTGTGAAAAACCAAAAATGGGCCATTTTTGTTCAATGGGCAGAGATCAAGGCTGTTTTCATAGTTCTGGCCAGTATACCCCTTGATAAACTTTTTCATCTTTTTATTCACTCTTGGACTGTTAGACCTTTCTCTTTGGTTTAACACTTAGAAAAGTACAGATTCCATATGAAAAAGGAATTTCTCTGGGGCAGTAGTCTGTCGAAACTGTGGCTGCTGATGGGAACTTTGGTGTCACTCTCACAGATGTCCATACTAAAGGCTTATTTCCTGATGAGACCCTGATCAAGCCTGCATTGCCCAGATTATACTGTTGCTACCTGGATCCATTATCATACTGGACATCATAACACATATGCCATCATAAACTGGACATGTAGTAAAGTATCTTATGTGTCTGATGCCAAGGTTAGCATTTCTTGCCAGCTTTGTGAGTCTAGTCAGAACTTGACCTGCCTCACTCATTGTGAGGGAAATCATCATTCAGAGGGCATTGCTCCTGCACAGCCTTGGCAGATGGAATGCATCAGACTTGGTCCCCTCTTGAGGTTACTAGAAGTCATGGGAATTGTTAACACTTTTTCAAACTATAGCACTGCTGTTCCTGTTCAGTCAGCTGACTCTGGATACAAATATGGTCCTTGAATCTAATCTGTGTCATGTGTTTGACTTTCCAGACTATTTGCAGTCTCACCATGGTTCAGTGTTTATTACAAAAATCACTCAACAATAGACTGATAGTTAAGCTATCTGATGGACCTTCCATAGTCTCCACCATCCAAAGGCTTCTGGTATTGGTGATAATTGATTGACTCAGTAAAATTTCTGACTTTGTCTTCTTTACCTCCTTCTGATGTACACAGCTTAGCAGGGCAGTTGGTCACTGAATGCAGTTTTCACTCCTGGATAATAATCATAATGAAGTATGTATATATATATATATATATATTTGGTCTTCAACCCCCATGCCTGGCATAGAGCTCCTAAAACCTTGTCCTTTTCTGATAGGAGTGAGAGGATAATCTTTTGTTATTCATTATAACCCCCTTTCAGTCATATCTGAGTTTATGCCAATAAGGTGATCTTAGAGGAAGGGGGCTGATTGCCAGAGGATTGGGTTGGAATCCTCAGCCCTACTGATCTTTAGGGAAGAGAGAAGGGCTGGAGACTGACTTATTCACCAGTAACCAGTGATTCAATCCATTGTGCTTATACAATGAAGCCTCTATAAGAACTCTAAGTGTACAGGTTTAAAGTTGAAGCTTTCAGGTTGGTGAACACATCAAAGTTCTGGGAAAGTGCCATGCCCAGAGAGGGCATGGAAATCCCTCATCCTGTCCCACATACCTTGCCCTGTACATCCCTGCCATTTTGTTGTTCTTGAGTTGTATCCTTTATAATAAACTAATAATCATAAGCATAACACTTTCTTGAGTTCTGTGAGCCATTCTAGCAAATTATCGAATTCAAGGAAGAAGATCTGGGAACCTCCAATTTACAGCCAGTCAGTCAGAAATACAGGTGACAATCTAGGATGTCTGAAGTGGGAGATAATTTTGTGAGACAGCCTTTAACCTGTAGGATCTGTGGTAACTCTGGGTAGTTAGTATGAGAATTGTTTAGCTTGAGGAAAATAATCCACACATTTGGTGTCAGAAATGAAGTGTTGAATAGTGCAGAGAGAAACAGGAGTTTTCTTATAATTATGTAGATCTATTTTGAAAAATTGGGATTCTATCCTGACCATTCCTGGGCATGATGATCCTTTTCTTTCTCCAACATTGTCAACCTCAGGGTGTACTGGTTGGTCTACTCTGTGGGTGGCAGTCTAAGAAAAAGTGTCCCTCCTGCATCTGACCCTTCCAAAAGAAAGTTTTGGGTGTGAGTTAGAAAAAATAAGAAAAATGATGAAGTTATAACTACTAGAAAAGTGACAATTTTATAATGGTGGAGTAAGAACGACAATCTTGGCACCTGGGGAAGGAATACCTAATCACACCACTTTGGCTCTAGAAGGTATTTAGGACGACCTCAACTCACTGGCCAACGTTGTTATGGATGATAGACTTGTTCTAGACTTCTTCCTTGTGGGCAAAGGTGAAGTCCTTGCCATCAGTAAATACCTCTTTCTGTATCTAAATGAAAACTTCAAACCAAGTAGAAAGGTCATTACTAAAACTTAAGAACAAGCCACTCAGCTTTTTAAGATAGGCCTTGATGATTTATGGAATTTGTTGAGTTCATTGGGTCTAGACCCCCTATGGGGGCATGGTTGGAATCAATACTGCCAATTGACCTCCCCCTGCTGCTTGGAATCCTTTGATAATTAAATGCCGTATAAGACAAATTGATGGATTTAGTCTCAGCCTTTGTTAGCCAGAATGATAGGAATGGCTCGGGGA